TGAAGGGAGAGAGGGAAGGAGGAGAAAGGAAGTAAGGAAGGAAAGAAAGAAAGAAAGAAAGAAGAAAGGAAGGAAGCAAGGAAGGAAGGAAAGAAGGAAAAGAGAGAGGGAAGGGAGAGAGGGATGAGGAAGAAAAGAAGGAAGGAAAGGAAGGAAAAGAGAGAGAAGGGAGAAAGGGAGGGGGAAGGGAAGGAAAGAAGGGAGGGAGGGAGGGAGGGAGGGAGAAAAGAAAGGAGAGGAGAGGAGAAGAGAAGGGAAAAGCAGACTCATTAAACTTAGAAGGAAGCCTAGAAGGAAGAGGAGAAAAGTGGCAGACACAATCATAGGCACGAAATGGAGAGAGGAAAACAGGCACTCGGTTTTAGACTAACCCAGCTAGAAGCCGCCCTCCTCGACACGCCAGCCGATCCCCAGATCACCTCACCCTTCCTCCAACGTGCCTTGGATCAAAACCCGAGAGAGAGAGATCCATCCAAACACCCACTTGGAACTCCTTTGGGTTCAGGGCTAAAGTCGAACACCCAGACCCTTCCAAAACACGTTAAACCACCCGAAGGTCCCCAAACACAGCACAAGCAGGCGGAGGAGGCTCTCCCCTCCCCTCTGGGACACAGGAACCAAGCCCCTTCCCCCTGGGCCAAGCCCTCTTCCAAGGTGGCACAGAGCCCGGCCCTCTTGCTGGGTGGAACAGACCAAGTTCAACCAAGTTCAGCTAAGCAGAAACCTTCCGCAGCCGAACCGTGCAGCCAAGGGACGCTCCCGAGACAAGCCACGGTCCCGCAGAGCTTACCTGATCCCCTTCCAGCCCCCAGTCGGGGGAGGGCTGTTCCCCCTCCCCCCCAGTTTCTGCACCCCAAGAGAAACTCTCTACCGGGAGGAAGTGCCAAACCGACCTAAACGGGACTTAGCCAGCCCCGGAGAACTTCGGCCTCTTGGGCAGGCAGCTGCCTGGCTCCTCTCCTCCTCTCCTCCAGCCTGGTTTCCTGAGGCTCACATGGCGGAGGTTTGCCGGTTGCTGAGGAAACAGCCCTTTGAGAGGTGACCGGCCAAAAGTTTATGGGTTGGCCGGGTGCTTTGGCTGGGCTCCAGCTGGCCTTCAGCAGGCGGTGTTGGAGAAACCAGCAAGGGCCGCGAGGAGGAGGTGGCAGCTGAGGGGTGAGATGAGCTGGCCCGCCGACGGAGCCTCCTTCCCAGGTGGGACAGTGTGGGGCAGGACGGGATGTCTGTCAGGGACAACCCAAAGGCGCTTCCCCCCCCCCAAGAGGCAACTGGACTTTCAGGGGTTTTTCTTTGAAGATGTTTTGCTTCACATCCAAGAAGCTTCTTCAGCTCTGACTGGATGGTGGAGAAGGAACGAAGGAAGTGAGAAAGGGAGGGAGGAAGGAAGGAAGGAAGGAAGGAAGGAAGGAAGGAAGGAAGGAAGGAAGGAAGGAGAGAGGGAGGAAAGAAGGAAGAAATGGAAGTCTATGGAGATCGTCCATTCTCCAGGTCATGGTTATCACAAAGATGCTTTTTTCAAGAGGCAACTGGACTTTGTGTTTTTTTTTTATTGAAGATGTTTCTCTTCTCATCCAAGAAGCTTCTTCAGCTCTGACAGGATGGTGGGGAACGGAAGGATTTATACTCCTTGCACACAGCTGGTCCTTTGCATCCTTTTAGAGGGTCGTTGAGGCCACTTGGGAGGCTTATCTGTGTCCTCAGGGTCACCTGAGTGGTGCAAATGGGTGTGGAGCTGTCTGCAAGGAGTACAAATCCTTCCATTCCATCCACCCTGCTCATACTGAGCAACCAATTTCTGTTTTTTGCAACCCCTGTCTTGCCCACCTCCAGGAGATAAATTGAATCAACCAGGTTTCAAGTGGCATTGTCATGCCCCTGTCGGAGTCTGAATCCGAGGAGGAAGACAAACAGCTGGCAGGGAGCGGGAGTGTGCCTCCGTTGGCTGTGGAGGAAACTGGAGAGGGCAAAGTCTGACTGGGCAGAGCAGGGAAGAGGTAGAACAAGGGAGAGGGAGTTCAGAGGAAGACCCAGGCCCACCCACTCTTCACCCCAGGGCACACAGGGAGGAACGGAGAAGGGAGCAACGTGGGTTGCATGGCTTATGGGGAAGGAAAGGGACCTGATTCCCTTGATTAGCCACAGTTGGGAAGAGAGTTTAAAAGAGATGCAAGCTAAAAGCGGCATCTGCTGGGAACAAACGTGAGTTTATCTTGGGTGTACTTTGGTTAACTGCGTTCCTAGCATCCTCCTAACTGGGTTGATTTACTGCTGTTCCTTCACATCTGGAATTCCTTCTCTCGCCCTGCTGGATTAATTACCTCATTTTGCATCGTTTGGATTTACAGTTACAGTTTTTGTTGACCACGTTTTGGACTTGATTCTCTGCAACTAAAGCCCGTTCCTGGGAGAATTTTTCTTCAGCCAGAAGGTAACCAGGACATTGGGGGCAAAGTTGGAGCTAATAAAGGGACTCCTACTGATTATTTGACTGTGTTGCCTTTGTGCCACGCCCCTTTGGGTCATCACAGGCACTGTGGTCTGTATGCCCAAACGTCATGCCATAGAACATCACACGTAGCCCCTTTTGATTTAGGAAAGGCATTGCAAAATATGCGTCATTTCATTCGTTACTCATTTCATAGGTTGTTTGTATTTATAATTATTAACTTCAGAATTAGTTGGTCGTAAAATGTACCTGTTGGAAAAGAAAAAGCTACCAGACTCTTGATTTTTAGCCAAGATGGATTAACATGGCTACAGTTGTCAGCAAATCTTAAGGATGCCTTCTATCAAGAGTTGAGTGTTGAAGGTACCCCTCAAAAGTCCTTAAGTATAAAACCCTGTTGACGAAAGACACTCAAAGGTGAACAGAACGTGGTACGCCAGGACCAAAGCAATCCTATTCTGGTTTAGCATATCACAACAAGCCAACCAGGGTTGGATACTACAGCCAATATAGGATGGTTGCACAAACCAGATTGCTTCCAGGCCCTGTACAATTGTGGGAAGGTGAACTCTAAGCTCTTTGCTTTGTTCCTCACAACCTGTTTTGACAACTTGAGAAAGTCTTCCTCCAGAATACAAATAGCCCTCAAAATAACAAACCACGTCTTAGACCAGTGCTCTCCAAAACCTCATAAATTACCCCAAATTCAGTAAAAATAGTTTTTCCCAGGGACATATAAACAGACTTAATTTCGCAACATGTACTGAAATACTCGAAAATCTGCCAAAGTATCCCTACAAAGACGAAAATCGATGAAATACCAAGAGTAATTTGTTGAAATGACCCAAAGATCATTCAAGGATGCTGTTTTTATCATTCGGGTATTTCTCAAGTTACGTCCCCTTGTTCAGCGACCGTCCGAAGGTACGACGGGGTTGAAGGAAGGGACTTAACAACCTCAAAGTTTGATCAGACTTTGGGATAAGCAAGAGGTTTCGGCAACAAAGGAAAACAATTAAGCATTGTTTCTTTCTTTTTTTCTCCCCTTGCTTTGAGGTAGACCAAAGGAGAGGATTTGGGCCTTTTGGTGGTCCCGAATGGCCTTACTTACCACTGGAGGACATGGCTTCTTCCTTGACTCGCGAGGAAGCTTCTTCAGGGTTGGAGTTTGCTTGTAACCCATCCTTAGCCAAGCCACTCAAGTACATGTTGCACGCACAATTAGCACAGCAGGATATAATTAAGTGGGATGGAATTTGGCATGAGTAACCAAGCCGCCACCTCAGAGGCTCACGCCAACAGGTCATCAGTTAAGCAATGCTTAGCAAATACTTGTAAATATATATATAGGAGCTGATCCCTCCTTTTGCAACGCCGGTGTGTGCCAATGCATTAGCACAAATTGTGGTGCGGTGGTTGCTGGAGGCAGGCAGACAGGCAGACAGGAGGTTGGGTCTGCTAGTAGACTTCACTCATCCGCCTGTCTTTCACCAAGACCATCAATCCTTAGCTGACCACACGACAAGTCACCCATGAGATAAGTCTAGCTTTGCCTCCTTAAAAGAGGCTGGGGAATTCTGGGAGTTGAAGTCCACGCACATCAAGTTACGTAGGTTGAGAAAGACTGTGGGTTCTAGAGGGTGGTGGATCCTAGTTTTACAAAGGACTTTACAAAGGGTGTTGCACAAAGGTAGCCCTTCCAATCAGAGCCCGGAGGAAACAAAGCAAAGCAGAACAAGGCGAAGGAAGAGTCATAAGATACAAGGAGAAGATTTGTCTTGCACAAAGAGACCCCATTTTTACTTCCCGGAGTAGTGGCGGAGATGTGGTCAGGATTCTATCCCTTGTCTGCCCTCTAGTTCAGATTGTTGCAATCTGTTCCTTGCTCCCCACAGCCTGCCAAAGGCCCCATCTCTCGACTCTACTGCCTTTTGGATAAAATAGATTCCAACTTATTGGGTGCCGACCACGCTTTGCCCCATCAAACAACCCCGCAATGGTGGGTTTGGCCACCTTCATCTCTGGCAAGGCTGACCTCTCAAGGCCAGCTCCAAGGAAGCCCTTAAAACCTGTAGTTCTCTCCCTCCCCCTTGTCCCCCCCCCCCTCCCAAAGCCCTCAGAGAATGCTCACCGTTTGTGTCTGCCACTTCTACGAGAGCTTTGTTCCTTGTGATGTTAGAAGCAAAGTGGCATCATCTCACAATGGGTGCCTGGGGCTGTGGGAGACACAGAGAGAGCCGGGTGAATCACACACACACGCACACACACACACACAAACATGGGACACACCCGTGGGAACTCAGGTGCAAGTAGGCAGGGAAGGAGGGAGGGACCTTGGTGGAGGAAGAACACAGCGCGGCATGGGGAAACAGCCCGGGGCACGAGGAGAAGACCGCCTCAGCTGCAGAGGCCTTACCATAAGCCTGCGCCGCCTTCCAAGAGCTCCAGAGAGCTTGCGGTTTGCAGGGAGGCTGCTGACTCCTTGGCAGGACCAAGCTGAGGCAACCCAGAAAGGAAGGACGCGGCTCAGCAAGGAGGCCGGAAAAGGAAGGGCCAGGAGAGGAATCCAACCACGCAAGAGGGACCTCAAATCATGTGGCATCCCTCCCAGGGTTGGTGCCATTGGATTAGGCGCCGTTCCCTGGGCATGAAAGCCAGCTGGGTGACTTGGGGGTCAGCCCGTCTGTCTCAGCCCCAGACTGGAGAAGTGGGCAAAACTTCCCTGGAAGGATGTAAAGCAGAGGTGGTCTTCAGCCGGTCCTGACCAGTTCTGGAGAACCGGTAGCGGAAATTTTGAGTAGTTCGGACAACCGGCTGCTACCACCTCTGACTGGCCCCACCAACCCCATCCCTTCTCTGCCTCCCATTGAGTCCCAGCTGATCGGCTGAGTCTCCTTTGGTTGCCCTGCCCAGGAGAACAGAGCTGGAAAGCAGGCTAGTGGGGTGGGGAGGGAAGGGGGATTTTGCAGTAACCTTCCCCTTCCACGCCCAACGAGCCACAACATGCCCACCAAGCCACACCACAGAACCGGTAGTAAAAATATTTGAATCCCACCCCTGATGGAAAGCCACTTCTGAAGACATTGCCCAATCCACGGGCCCACCAGGAACCCAGCACACCAACACAACAGCATCCCTTCCCCAAATGCATAATTTCGCCCCCATTCTTCTACTTAGTGTCTAGTATTTGGGAAAAAAAAACCCCCAGCTTGTAGTAAATGATGGGTTCCTTTAAGGTTCGCTGTTTGCTTAACCACCACAGTGTTCGTTTAATGACCGCCACAGTCACTGAATACTCATCACAAAAAAAAAAAAATAAGTTGGGTTGCAGTTACGCGATGATCCCCTTATCGACCTCCATAAGTTATGAGGGTAATTGAACCTGCAATGCAGCCCTGATCGCCTGCAAAGCCTGTTCTCACCACTCAGTTCGAGAAGCTCACAGTCGCCTCGAGCCATGAAATGACGGCAAATACATGAACGACGACAACAACAATAATGGAGGGACCCACCAAAGAAACTCCCAAAACGGGACTTTGCAACTGTCCCTGTTGTAGCTGCTCTACAATAGGTCCAAGAACCCAAAACCAGAGACTTTGCTTCCCACCTTGGCGCTTACGATAAGCGAGGTTTCATTTGGAGAGTCGGGTTAAGCGTCTGGGTTCCAATGGAATCAGAACTCCAAGGCACATGCATCTTCCTCAAAGAATAGATTGATTTTAGGCAGGTCGGATTGGCACATCTGGGGAAACCTGACTCTAACCCCCCCCGAGGTATTCCCCCCCCAGTAAAAAGTAATTTTTTCTCTCCCCTGCTCATTCCGCCCATCATGTGGTGCAATCAGGCCACCATCCAAGGGTCAGTTGGTCTCAGATGCCACCTCCTTAGCACCTGGTGGGGGAAAGCCCTTGTTTCTCAGAGGAAGGAATTTTATTTTATTTTGGCTACAATCCAGAGGTGCTATTCAGCTGGTTCTGACCGGTTCTCGAGAACCGGTAGTGGAAACTTTGAGTAGTTTGGGGAACCGGCAAATACTGGGTCTGACTGGCCCCGCCAACCCCATCTATTCTCTGCCTCTCCTTGAAACCCAGTGGATTGGCTGGGTCTTCTTTGGTTGTCCCTGCACAGGAGAACGGAGCTGAAATGCAGGTTAGTGGGGTGGGGAGGGAACGGGAATTTTGCAGTATATCCTTCCCTTGCCACGCCCACCAAACCACGCCCACCAAGCTTACGGAACCGGTAGTAAAAAAAAATTAGAATCCCACCACTGCTACAATCCCCCTGCTACCTCTACCTCCCCTCCCGTTCCCACGCCTCAATTCATCTCTGCTGAAGGTGCCTGGGGAAAATGGCTTCAGGGCTGGCACCCACCTCAGACCCATACAATAAGCGAGCGAGTGATTTCTACTCCTCTACCGCGGGAGATGCTGGCTTTGGATTCTCGTTGCAACCCTGGGCGTTCGGTCCACCGTGTTGAAGTTACACAACCATGCATTCTTGGTTGTTTTGCCAGAACAGTCCAACCTCCGACTTTTTCCTTGCTGCCAGGGATTTAGGGCCAAGCCGGCCCGTAACTGGATCGCCGAGAGAGCTATTTTTAGTTCCAAACAGCTGCGGCGGTGAGTCTCAGGTTGGACCAGGCTGGAGGAGGGGGGGGAGGATGGAGAGCCACAGCTGCTTCTCCGGCAGAATTCCTCCTGCATAAACAACCCTCCGCTGATCCTTGGCTTCCGTCTTCACGTTACAGCGAAGAAAGGTGATTTGGATGGAAAGGAGTCCCTTCTGGGCAGAACAGATGGTTCTAGATCACCTGGTCCCTCCTTTTATGGCTTATGAACATTGTTAGGAGGACCAAGTTGGGCTCCCGTGACCGTCCTTGACCTCTAGCCAGAACGATGCTGACTGAGGATAACTGAAGTTGTAGTCCATGGTTGGGTGGCTTGGTGGAGGGGGTGGGGTCAGAGCCGGTCAAACAATTCTAGAATATGGAAGGGGGACGGAAGAGCGAAGGATCTTGCCAACCGCAGCTCCCAGGATTCTCTGGGAGAAGCGATGACAGTTGGATTGCTATAAAGCTGATTCTATGCCCTGTTGTAATAGTAGACGAGAAAGACCTCGGGAGAGAATTTGAAGAGAGGGACCTCTTCAAGGAGAAGAGGTGGATAAGAGGGGGCTTAGCCCACAGTTGGATAATGAGTGGGGGAAAAAGGTTCTCCCTAATTACTAGGGGTGTAAAGGAGACAGGAGGAGAATTGTACTTTCGGATTTGCAAGAGTCAAATAACGGAGAATATTTGTAGCCCAGGGTTGAAATGAGGGGTCCTTGGTGCCCTCCGAGCTGGGTGGTTTTTTCTTGAAGACATTTCATGACCCAAACTAGGTAACCTCATCAGGGCTGGTTAGAGTCACTAGCATTGATGATGTTACCTAGTTTGGGTCATGAAACGTCCGCAAGGAAACAATTAAGCTCAGAGAGCATGAGAACCCCTCATTACGAGGTTCTGTCAATATCATCTTTCCTATAGAATTGGCTCAACTGGTTGTGTTTCCTATCTGGTCTGCCTGGCAGGGCTGACATCCATCTCCCAAACATGGCTCTAGATCAGCATGGTGATACTTTGAGAAGCACAGGCATTTAGCTGAGGCCTACAGGATCTGTTGTTTCACTGCATGTCATACGGTGGAAGGCAAAGGATTTAAAAGGGTGGCTTGTGAGTCATTCACAGCCTTCTGAATAAATTTTGGCAGCCGGGGGACAAACAATTTGTAGGCCCTGCGGAAGCTGCCCAGCAAGTCCACTGAGATATGAAGGTTGGTCCATGAGCAGTTCTTTACCAAGAAAGGGAGGGAAAGAGGGAGGGAGGGAGGATGGAAAGAAGGAAGGAGATAGGAATGGAAGGAAGGAAGGAAGGAAGGAAGGAAGGAAGGAAGGAAGGAAGGAAGGAAGGAGATGGGAATGGAAGGAAGGAAGGAGATGGAAGGAGGGAGATGGGAAAGGAAGGAAGGGGATAGGAAAGGAAGGAAGGAAGGAAAAGAGAGAAGGAAGGGAGAGAGAGAGGGAGAGAGGGGAAGGAAGGGAGGAAAGGGAGGGAGGGAGGAAAGAGAAGAGAAGAGAAGAGAAGAGAAGAGAAGAGAAGAGAAGAGAAGAGAAGAGAAGAGAAGAGCAGGCACATTAAGATGGGAAAGGAAGGAAGGAAAGAAATGAGATACATTTAATACGTTTACATATCTTGACATACCAGGCAATCTTGCATTTTATTTTCTTCCTTTTTTGACTCACTTGAGATGCTGGAATCCCCGCATGAAAATACTTCAGCCTTCAGTCTAACGAACTCCTGCCCCAGACTTGTAATTGGAAACGGAGACTCCTGTTCCAGGGAATTCTGAGTCTTATGCATTATGCAATCTTTTTTTTTTACTGGGAATTATGCAAATTGAATTTTTGTTTGTTTTTCCTGCCTCCAAATATGTAGCCTCTTTGAATCTATTAACCTTCATCTCCTCTGCTTCTGGGCACCCTTCCTCAAACGCATCCCTTATTTGATGATCTCTCTGTCAGCTCTATCGGGGAAACTTGTCCCAACAAGAAAACACATTTTCTGCAGAAGTGTGACACACATCCATTAGACTCTAACAACCGGACTGCGGGAAAATGGGCTGCCTAACACTCGTGATGAGGATTAAGAGCATCACCCTTATTCGTAACACCGACCTCTTTCAACACAGAGAAAAAACTAAACCAGAGCTACAATAAAAGGAGAGTGTGTGTGTATTTGGTTTACAAAGCCCACAGTAACCTCAAATGCACCTGGATTTCACTCCTTGGTTGCTAATTGATTTGCCAAGGATACGTTTGGCCTATTCTTTTAGTTGTGTTCACCCAAGATATCATCATCCTGGTTATTGAATTAGCTCATGTGAGCGGTTTGGCACAACGCAACACAACACAATGAGCCCTAAACTAAACCAAGAGGCTGGGCTCGGACGATGCAGTCAATTTCAAGCAAACTCCAAGTTCTGTTTGTCCCGCGGAGAGAACTCCGAGTGATTTTGTTTAGCACACGGTGCAAAGATGGGGAGTTTGTGATGCCTTGTTACTCTTCAGGCGCTTCTCATTTGTGGCTGGGAGAGGTTGTCTCACCCAGGAGATCCAGGCCAGGCCAGTAAACATCCAGACACTGACCTTCAT